AGCAGCCGAGCACCAGGGACCTTCATTCTGCAGCCATGTCTGAATCTATACTAGCCTTTCTCAGCATTTCGGGATTATTTCTAATCGCTAAGGTGCTGACAACAGTTGGAGCAGAGCAAGGTAAGGCACCTCATTCGCGCATCAAAATCAGTGGTTCTGGTAAACTTATGCGCTGTCTCCGCTATATATTCCGGCCGAAATTAGCTACTCTTATCATATGCACTGCATTTATCCAACGCTCAACTAGCAGATAGTATTGTTTAAGAGGCAATTTATTAATTCAGACTAATGAATTGGTTTTCTGTATGAAAACGCTGATGTCATTAGATCTATTTGAGTAAAGACGATTTGCGATATGCAAAACTGCTCATGTTTTTTTTTTTTTTGTTTTTTTGTTTTTTTAAGTTTTCAGACTTAAACATGTAGTATTAAATTGCACGCAAGGTGCATTCCTGGCTTTTAGCGCTGGATGCTGGTGACAGACTGGATGCGGTGTATTATAGCGGCACGCGAAGATGTGCGCTCAAACCTGCGCATAATATAAGCGTTAGAAACGCGCCTCTTACCTTATATACCACTGGCCGGCTGGCCACAGTTTCATTTGTTTTATACCGCTAACTTATTCATTTTATTGTTTTCAACTTATTTGGAACGCATGCATCTATTCATTTTCGCTGAAAATTTATACTCAGAGATAGGTTTCGACTCCTATTTGTGATCAAAAACAAAACCAAGAAAACGTTTCAAAAGTTTAAAATGGAAGTGTATAAAGGTGATAACGGGTAAAACCAATAAGATGTGGAAACACGCTATTTTGTTTGAAACTTTGATTGCAAATTATGTACTAGGGCCTTATTGTATTTTTTTGTAATTACCAATTTTCATTTTATAAATACTTAATTCTGCAGAAAATAACTATGTAATCTACATATTGTGCAAATAATAGATATGCATATTGGTCACTAGGCTACGAGTGAAGTCCAGCAATGTATATGCACATCTGCAGAAAAAAAATGGTTATTACATTAAATTATTCATCGCATTGTATTAGAGTGGTTGCTTCTCGTTTTCTTCCTTTAAATACAACCCCCCAGTGAATAAAAGAGCAGTGTGTATGTGACATTAACGAAGGAAATCACATCAGCGGACTTCATTCTGTCCTGCAGATAATTGTATTAAATGTAAATTTATGAGTCAGATCCATAGTTTGTAAGGATGCAGTGAAGTATGCCAATAATGTATTGCGACGACAATGAGTAACACGATGAACTCATTATGCACTAATCGGTGAACTTGTTGACTTATTATAAACGTTTGTGTCGAGATTTGGTCGTATCACTGCGGGATGCCGTCCAATACAAATCCTACAGCCAGATGACTATTTAAATCTACTACTCTGTCAATCACGCAGTCATAAATTCATAAATATTGAATGTAATAATAATAATAATAATAATAATAATAAATAAATAAATAAATACCCTAACTGTTTTCATTTTCTTTTTCTCTCTGTACACTTGAGCTGTAACCCCCTGCTCATTATCGAGCCCCAGGTAGCTTTACTCGTGTGGCGGTTTGAGACAGGTCTGCCCGAAGCTGTTTTATAGCATAACAGTCATGCATTATCTTCACATTTCTCTTGTTCCCATTCAGCCCTAAGTCGCAACCTTTGCTAATTTTGGTTTGCAGCAGCCCGTGTGCTAAATTTCAGTGACTTTCTCTCCCTACATTAACTTTCACCTTTTGAAGCACTAAAGCTATATATAAACTTCTGCGTTTTTTTTCATATTTACAAACAGGCAATGCACTTGTGGGTCTCTGATGTTTTACTAACCTTTCAGTCCACAGCACATTAGTAGAAGGAGAAGCTGGCTTTCTAAATACCTCGTTTCTTAAACTTGCAAAACAGTTTTTCTTCCACATAACAATCTTGGCAAGCTGGTTCATATCGTTCGGGGAGTGGTGAATTGTCTCACGGTTTCATTATATAGGCTATTACATGCCTGAATTTTGTCATTTAAACACAGTACAAAGCGGATTATGAACTGTTAAAGTTATAATAAAATGTTGGGACGATTATATTACCGTCTTTAATGGCTTTTCGGTAAGGTTGCCTGTATCCTCACCTATAACCTAGCGATGGCATTTACGAAACGATGATGCCTCGTACCCGTTAGCATAACACTGTGACAGTTCTGTACCTGGTCTGCAAGGACTGCCCCACTTTTTTGTTGACTGCAAAAGGGCCAACCTTTGGATAGACTGGAGCAAATTTCACTTAGGGTATAACTGATGATTCCGAAAAAGTGGATTAGTTACTAAGTTAGAACGTGTTTCTATAGCGAAGGAGTCATACCATTTATTCGTGACGGTAAACTTAGTGGTTCATGCCAAAGGTTTCTTAGTGCATGCCGACTTAAGCGTCATACTTCATAGTGACAGATGGCGCACAGGGACGGAGTTTGATCTGCTGTCGCTCGAAGCAGCCAGGATGGCCCGTGGTTTGGAAAGGGCGAGGGAAGCTGTGAATGGCACCCAGGAAAAGGTGCTCTCCTTACAGGTACGCTGCCCTGGCGTCCCGAAATGTCCACCGTCCCAGTGTGGAATATGTTCACGTTTGATGTTTCACTATAATTGAAACCGAATGTAACATTTTCTCTCTAATTTAAGAAAATCATAAAATAAAATAAATACAGCTGTTCATTCTGAATCAAACGTGAGGCAAAAAAAATATCTGAGGTAGGGGAAATTCAAAACAGAGATTGACCAGTCAGTGTAATGGCCAAAAACAAACATCTGGAACAAAATAATGTAATATTTGCTAATAAACAGGCTAAGCTAATGAGCTAAGTGAATTACGTTAGGTCTGAGTGTATGATCCCTTTCGTGTTAAGGCATCATGACGTTCCTCTTGATAACTGTGAATAAAGTGCCTTGTCAAATCAAATAGCGGCTGTTCTGAAACACAGCAAATGGGAAACATTCAAGGCTCGCTGCCAGCATTCATGCTGCGCCCTCCTTTGTTGTTAGATGTCGGTCTGCTCCGTTACCAAAAGTATTCATACATTTGAAAATATAACGACAGCCGGAACATCAGAAATGTTTATTCAATTCAAATGGGTTTTTTAAATGTATATTTATGAATGATAATTCAATTTGGACAGCCCCGAGTTTGGCTAAGGCTATTGCATGCTGATGGGGGGCGATGGCGATAGACCTCCTCCGTAGCTACGTCATTTTTGGACGGAGCTCTAGGCTCGCGCTCGGATGCCGAAGCCCTGCTTTCAATCTCCGTTCGGCCCAACCGCACTGTTTTCATAGCTGGCTCACATTAGCGTCTGAAACGTTTTATGGCATGAAAGGTGTTATTTTTCCTGTCGCGGGCACACGTCCCGAACCTGCGGACACGCACCCTTTCAGTGGCCGGATGGAGGGTGCGGTCCCGGCTTCTGATGAGTGTGACGGGGAAACGGCGCTTTCGGTGTCGCGGGTCTTGCTGCTGGGTGGCAGAGAGCCGGCGGCGATGAGCTTATGTAGCGGGGAGGGGGGTGGAATTAGGGCCAAACTTAACGAACGGGCCGTTAAGCCCGACCCCAGAGCGCAGCAGAGCTGCTTGTCAGGTCAGGGCTGTGTAACGGGATTCAGCTTTTCCAGGGCTAAGTTTGCCGTCGTTTTTACCCAAAGTACCATTTTCATTATGAATTGGGCTTACTTTCCACGAGGTGGTGAGACGCTGAGGTTGACTTCTGAGCTCTCCTGGAATACATCATTTTTGCATTGTGGCAACCAGCCCAGGACGCGGAAATCCATCACACACCACCCTTTTGATTCTTCTGAACCTTATCGGGGTGACATGAATCTGGTGTTCATGCTGATATGTGACAGCAGATCCCATAACTGATTATATCCATAAAAACGGCTGAAGGAAGTTGTGTTTCTGTAAGACCCCTCCGTCACTGGCTCTGTGCCCGCATGTACAGTAAATTGATGTCACCCCGGTGACTGTTGCAGTTTGTGCCCAAAACGAGTCAATGAGCGATCTGTGTAAGTGCCTGCTGTTGTGATCCAGACCCACGTGGACATGTGACCATTGCTGGAGAACTGAGGGGTCTTTTATCAGGCTGAATGGATTCTGTATCTGTTCATGTGTTCTTGTTGATCGTAAGGCTCGACACAGGTCGAGTTGGAGCAGACGGGGCTGAATCAAAGTCTCATTTTCTTTCGTGCTGGTTTGCGTTGATGTTTTTTTTTTGTTAAAGTGAGTCAAACGGCAGTTGTTGGGAGGAGAAAAGTGAGCGTTTCAGTACATTTCATTCAAGTTCAAATGTCAATGGTGACGTCTTGGTTCATATTTTATACTGGGCCTCACACACACACACTGGAAGAGTCTAGGAAACAAAAACAGTCCATACTATAAAAATGGCTGAAAGGCCTGGGAACCACTGCAGGGCATATGGACCACAGACTGGCGGTTGGTGGCAGCTTTTATTGGCATTGCTCTGGGGGCGGCACTGACAAGGGTCCGTGCGAGCGTGAAGGGGCAGCACTGACGGGGGTCCGTGCGAGCGTGAAGGGGCAGCACNTGTCACCATAACCAAAGATAAGTCTTTATATATGTGTCAGTGTGTTAGATAAACAATTAAATGAAATAATTCATTATTGCTTAGTGTGTCTAATAAATGTATATAACACACACACACACACACAAATATATTTCGCTGTACAGGTTGGGAAGGAAATGGATAAATGATGCAAAACGGCACCGTTCCCCGTGTTTTTGATCAACATTTAATAAAAAAAAAAAAAAAAGCAAACTAGTTTTCAGTTTGCTGGCGATTGTAATCCTCATCGATTCCGTCCGGGACCCATAGGCGCTTAATAGGCGTGATTTATGTGGACGTGGCGGGACTGCTCGGCGGATCCCTGTGATTAATAAGCAGATTCCCATCCGCTGGCCTCTCCCGCTGCACTTGTGTGATGGAGGATCAGACAAGACGTACCCTGCATTGAAAAGTCAAGACACACAGTCTCTGTTCTCTCCTCCTGTGCGCTTTCCTCCCCTCCCCAAATCCTCCATCACTACCCCCCGTCCACCTCTCTCTCTCTCGCCTGCTCTCTCGCTCTCACTCGCTCTCGCCCTCTCTCCATCACCATCCAGCCACACACATATACACTCAGAGATCCTGCTGGAAGCAGGCACCGGAGGAGGCTCTCTCTGGCTCAGCAGCCCCGTCCAGAGTGCGCATCCCCCGAATAACAGCGCTGGCGTCCGGGCTGGATCCCCACTCCAGGGAGAGAGCAGCCGAGCACCAGGGACCTTCATTCTGCAGCCATGTCTGAATCTATACTAGCCTTTCTCAGCATTTCGGGATTATTTCTAATCGCTAAGGTGCTGACAACAGTTGGAGCAGAGCAAGGTAAGGCACCTCATTCGCGCATCAAAATCAGTGGTTCTGGTAAACTTATGCGCTGTCTCCGCTATATATTCCGGCCGAAATTAGCTACTCTTATCATATGCACTGCATTTATCCAACGCTCAACTAGCAGATAGTATTGTTTAAGAGGCAATTTATTAATTCAGACTAATGAATTGGTTTTCTGTATGAAAACGCTGATGTCATTAGATCTATTTGAGTAAAGACGATTTGCGATATGCAAAACTGCTCATGTTTTTTTTTTTTTTGTTTTTTTGTTTTTTTAAGTTTTCAGACTTAAACATGTAGTATTAAATTGCACGCAAGGTGCATTCCTGGCTTTTAGCGCTGGATGCTGGTGACAGACTGGATGCGGTGTATTATAGCGGCACGCGAAGATGTGCGCTCAAACCTGCGCATAATATAAGCGTTAGAAACGCGCCTCTTACCTTATATACCACTGGCCGGCTGGCCACAGTTTCATTTGTTTTATACCGCTAACTTATTCATTTTATTGTTTTCAACTTATTTGGAACGCATGCATCTATTCATTTTCGCTGAAAATTTATACTCAGAGATAGGTTTCGACTCCTATTTGTGATCAAAAACAAAACCAAGAAAACGTTTCAAAAGTTTAAAATGGAAGTGTATAAAGGTGATAACGGGTAAAACCAATAAGATGTGGAAACACGCTATTTTGTTTGAAACTTTGATTGCAAATTATGTACTAGGGCCTTATTGTATTTTTTTGTAATTACCAATTTTCATTTTATAAATACTTAATTCTGCAGAAAATAACTATGTAATCTACATATTGTGCAAATAATAGATATGCATATTGGTCACTAGGCTACGAGTGAAGTCCAGCAATGTATATGCACATCTGCAGAAAAAAAATGGTTATTACATTAAATTATTCATCGCATTGTATTAGAGTGGTTGCTTCTCGTTTTCTTCCTTTAAATACAACCCCCCAGTGAATAAAAGAGCAGTGTGTATGTGACATTAACGAAGGAAATCACATCAGCGGACTTCATTCTGTCCTGCAGATAATTGTATTAAATGTAAATTTATGAGTCAGATCCATAGTTTGTAAGGATGCAGTGAAGTATGCCAATAATGTATTGCGACGACAATGAGTAACACGATGAACTCATTATGCACTAATCGGTGAACTTGTTGACTTATTATAAACGTTTGTGTCGAGATTTGGTCGTATCACTGCGGGATGCCGTCCAATACAAATCCTACAGCCAGATGACTATTTAAATCTACTACTCTGTCAATCACGCAGTCATAAATTCATAAATATTGAATGTAATAATAATAATAATAATAATAATAATAAATAAATAAATAAATACCCTAACTGTTTTCATTTTCTTTTTCTCTCTGTACACTTGAGCTGTAACCCCCTGCTCATTATCGAGCCCCAGGTAGCTTTACTCGTGTGGCGGTTTGAGACAGGTCTGCCCGAAGCTGTTTTATAGCATAACAGTCATGCATTATCTTCACATTTCTCTTGTTCCCATTCAGCCCTAAGTCGCAACCTTTGCTAATTTTGGTTTGCAGCAGCCCGTGTGCTAAATTTCAGTGACTTTCTCTCCCTACATTAACTTTCACCTTTTGAAGCACTAAAGCTATATATAAACTTCTGCGTTTTTTTTCATATTTACAAACAGGCAATGCACTTGTGGGTCTCTGATGTTTTACTAACCTTTCAGTCCACAGCACATTAGTAGAAGGAGAAGCTGGCTTTCTAAATACCTCGTTTCTTAAACTTGCAAAACAGTTTTTCTTCCACATAACAATCTTGGCAAGCTGGTTCATATCGTTCGGGGAGTGGTGAATTGTCTCACGGTTTCATTATATAGGCTATTACATGCCTGAATTTTGTCATTTAAACACAGTACAAAGCGGATTATGAACTGTTAAAGTTATAATAAAATGTTGGGACGATTATATTACCGTCTTTAATGGCTTTTCGGTAAGGTTGCCTGTATCCTCACCTATAACCTAGCGATGGCATTTACGAAACGATGATGCCTCGTACCCGTTAGCATAACACTGTGACAGTTCTGTACCTGGTCTGCAAGGACTGCCCCACTTTTTTGTTGACTGCAAAAGGGCCAACCTTTGGATAGACTGGAGCAAATTTCACTTAGGGTATAACTGATGATTCCGAAAAAGTGGATTAGTTACTAAGTTAGAACGTGTTTCTATAGCGAAGGAGTCATACCATTTATTCGTGACGGTAAACTTAGTGGTTCATGCCAAAGGTTTCTTAGTGCATGCCGACTTAAGCGTCATACTTCATAGTGACAGATGGCGCACAGGGACGGAGTTTGATCTGCTGTCGCTCGAAGCAGCCAGGATGGCCCGTGGTTTGGAAAGGGCGAGGGAAGCTGTGAATGGCACCCAGGAAAAGGTGCTCTCCTTACAGGTACGCTGCCCTGGCGTCCCGAAATGTCCACCGTCCCAGTGTGGAATATGTTCACGTTTGATGTTTCACTATAATTGAAACCGAATGTAACATTTTCTCTCTAATTTAAGAAAATCATAAAATAAAATAAATACAGCTGTTCATTCTGAATCAAACGTGAGGCAAAAAAAATATCTGAGGTAGGGGAAATTCAAAACAGAGATTGACCAGTCAGTGTAATGGCCAAAAACAAACATCTGGAACAAAATAATGTAATATTTGCTAATAAACAGGCTAAGCTAATGAGCTAAGTGAATTACGTTAGGTCTGAGTGTATGATCCCTTTCGTGTTAAGGCATCATGACGTTCCTCTTGATAACTGTGAATAAAGTGCCTTGTCAAATCAAATAGCGGCTGTTCTGAAACACAGCAAATGGGAAACATTCAAGGCTCGCTGCCAGCATTCATGCTGCGCCCTCCTTTGTTGTTAGATGTCGGTCTGCTCCGTTACCAAAAGTATTCATACATTTGAAAATATAACGACAGCCGGAACATCAGAAATGTTTATTCAATTCAAATGGGTTTTTTAAATGTATATTTATGAATGATAATTCAATTTGGACAGCCCCGAGTTTGGCTAAGGCTATTGCATGCTGATGGGGGGCGATGGCGATAGACCTCCTCCGTAGCTACGTCATTTTTGGACGGAGCTCTAGGCTCGCGCTCGGATGCCGAAGCCCTGCTTTCAATCTCCGTTCGGCCCAACCGCACTGTTTTCATAGCTGGCTCACATTAGCGTCTGAAACGTTTTATGGCATGAAAGGTGTTATTTTTCCTGTCGCGGGCACACGTCCCGAACCTGCGGACACGCACCCTTTCAGTGGCCGGATGGAGGGTGCGGTCCCGGCTTCTGATGAGTGTGACGGGGAAACGGCGCTTTCGGTGTCGCGGGTCTTGCTGCTGGGTGGCAGAGAGCCGGCGGCGATGAGCTTATGTAGCGGGGAGGGGGGTGGAATTAGGGCCAAACTTAACGAACGGGCCGTTAAGCCCGACCCCAGAGCGCAGCAGAGCTGCTTGTCAGGTCAGGGCTGTGTAACGGGATTCAGCTTTTCCAGGGCTAAGTTTGCCGTCGTTTTTACCCAAAGTACCATTTTCATTATGAATTGGGCTTACTTTCCACGAGGTGGTGAGACGCTGAGGTTGACTTCTGAGCTCTCCTGGAATACATCATTTTTGCATTGTGGCAACCAGCCCAGGACGCGGAAATCCATCACACACCACCCTTTTGATTCTTCTGAACCTTATCGGGGTGACATGAATCTGGTGTTCATGCTGATATGTGACAGCAGATCCCATAACTGATTATATCCATAAAAACGGCTGAAGGAAGTTGTGTTTCTGTAAGACCCCTCCGTCACTGGCTCTGTGCCCGCATGTACAGTAAATTGATGTCACCCCGGTGACTGTTGCAGTTTGTGCCCAAAACGAGTCAATGAGCGATCTGTGTAAGTGCCTGCTGTTGTGATCCAGACCCACGTGGACATGTGACCATTGCTGGAGAACTGAGGGGTCTTTTATCAGGCTGAATGGATTCTGTATCTGTTCATGTGTTCTTGTTGATCGTAAGGCTCGACACAGGTCGAGTTGGAGCAGACGGGGCTGAATCAAAGTCTCATTTTCTTTCGTGCTGGTTTGCGTTGATGTTTTTTTTTTGTTAAAGTGAGTCAAACGGCAGTTGTTGGGAGGAGAAAAGTGAGCGTTTCAGTACATTTCATTCAAGTTCAAATGTCAATGGTGACGTCTTGGTTCATATTTTATACTGGGCCTCACACACACACACTGGAAGAGTCTAGGAAACAAAAACAGTCCATACTATAAAAATGGCTGAAAGGCCTGGGAACCACTGCAGGGCATATGGACCACAGACTGGCGGTTGGTGGCAGCTTTTATTGGCATTGCTCTGGGGGCGGCACTGACAAGGGTCCGTGCGAGCGTGAAGGGGCAGCACTGACGGGGGTCCGTGCGAGCGTGAAGGGGCAGCACTGACGGGGGTCCGTGCGAGCGTGAAGGGGCAGCACCGATGATGGGTATGGCTGCATGGTGTATGGACCACAGGCTGGCGGTTGATGGCAGCTTTGATTGGCATTGCTCTGGGGGCAGCACTGAAGGGGGTCCATGTGAGTGACAGGGCAGCCCGTGCGAGCATGAAGGGGCAGCATTGACTGGGGTCCGTGTGAGTGTGACTGGGCAGCCCGTGCGAGCGTGAAGGGGCGTGGGGTCTGTGTGAGTATGAGAGGGCAGCCTGTGCGAATGTGAAGGGGCAGCACTGATCAGGGTCCGTTCGTGCATGAAGGGGCAGCACTGATGAGTGCCCATGTGAGTGTGACAGGGCAGCAATGACTGCGGTCCGTGTGAGTGTGACAGGGCAGCCCGTGCAGGTGTGAAGGGGCAGTACTGATGGGGTCTATTTGTGCATGAAGGGGCAACACTGACGGGGCACACATGACAGCTGCAGAATTAGCAAGCAAGGTGGTAAGATCCATGCTGGTGATCTGCCCCCGGGGGCATACGGGGACCTCTG